AAAGCCAGCAAGATATATCAGATTGGAATTGGGTCCTGCTAATGAATTTTTCTCAGGCACCATGGTAGAAAAGCCAGATCTTTGGCCAGAGACCAAAGACCTGGTCATGACCTATACAAGGACTAAGAGGTTTCATTGCTGCTGGTAATGTTGTAGTAAATAATTCAGTATTAAAGATTTTTTCTTCTGTAGGACCTGCTTGTACTACTGGACTTAATTGGTGCACCAAACCCAGTCTTTCCCAATTATTTTCCAAACACTTTCCGATGGTTTCAGAGGCTTCAGGCAATTGGTAAGCAGATGAATATGGGCTTGAGATGAATTTGAAAATGTAGTGTGTAGTTTCTGAATGTATAAAGTCCTGTAAATCAGATTTTTAGATTAAATTTTCTGGTTTACAGTTATAATATTTAATAATGTTAAATTTGGCTCATATTAAACCTATATGAAGATTTTGATATTTAATTAGTAAAAGAACTTAGGAAGATTCCCAGACACTTGGAAGCCACAAAACAGGTTCTATTACTGATTGTAACTCTGTAGCTCTTGGGAACTGTGTCACTTCTGTTTTAGTTCTCACTTCTTTAAAATGACAGTTATAGCACCAACCTTGAGGTCTTCTAAGTACTAAACAAATGCAAAAGACAGTCACCAACTCCTTTTTCTTCAGTGGCAAAAACTTCTATGTGAGAGGAAAAATAATTCACATACTCTAACATGCCTCATTGTCTGAAAACTGTAATAATCACTTTCATTGTGAATTACAGAGCAAAAGCTACACAACATGCATCTGTTGAAGAATCACCCTGTTGAAAACCAGTATTTCCGGAGTACTTCACACCGAGGCTTGGTTGAAGATGACCATATTCCATTTCTATTAAGAGGTACCAGAAGTTCTCATATTTTAAAGTATATCTGCAGTAATAAATGCATCATTTAGTGAATGAGCAAGTACATATGATCCTGTTTTTCAAGCTTATTTGCCCCAACTTAAGGCTTCCAAATCCAACTTTACTCAGGCCAAAAGGCACATACCTGAACAAAATCAGCAATAAAACCTGCCCATCATGATTTTGCAGGAGCACAGCTCCAGTGGCACAGAGATAATGGAAGTTTCTGTCAGCAATAATGTTCTGCAAAGATAAATGACCCTGATCCAGTGGGATGTCACTACATACCACACTAGTCAGCTAGTTACTATTCCTGGGAGCAGTGAAACACTCAGGGGTTATGTCCTCACAGACCACAAAAATCTCTAAAGATCTGTGGTCAAAGTTAGAGTAATGCTCACTATTATTTGTTTAAATTTGATGACCATAACTCCTGCAAAAACTCACATATTCAAATTAGACATTCCCATTCCCTAAAAAGAATGAAGATTTCACAGCTGTCACCTTGAGAGGCATGAAAAGTGCACAGAGTAGCCAGCAGAAATAGCAAAGGACACAATACAACTGAAATCTCTCCTGGAGTTAATCAGGCACATACCTGAAACTGTGATTCCCTACCTAAGCATTTTCTCCTGGCAGACACATAGGCCATAGTCTCTGACTTTGTGTTCCTTCTTTTCCTTTGGGATGCAACCAAAGGAAGGGAAGGCAGCTGTAGTACTGCTTTCAACTTGTCAAGCTACAGGTCCAAGCTGGACGGGTGGATTTGATGTCCTCAGTTCAAGTGAGAGCATCTTCAGAACTAAGGTTGCCCAGATAAGGGTAGGAGAACTTTTCTGATGGAAGTTTTCCACTGTACAGCAAGGGCTACAAGAGTCATATTGCTAGAGAAGGCTTAACCAGAAAGGAATGCAACACTAGTTCAACAAAGAGGTGTCTCCCTAAGAAAGGAGGGAGGTGCCTTCATATCCAGCCCTTAATTTTACCACTGTTTCTGCTCTTTTAAACACAGGTCTGACAAAACCAACACAGCCATCACATGTATGTCCAGGGACATAAAAAGTCCTACATGGAAGAAGCTGATAGGGGAAAACAATGACCACACCTCAAAATCTTTTCTAAAAACACAACACCTGTTGAAGGAAATGGATTCCTTAGTGGTACACAGCTGAAAAATGAGAGAGGAAAAGCAGTAAGACAGGAAAGAGGCTGGAACAAAACCAATTCTTTCCCCTCCAAAGGCAGTCAGGAACCAGAACACTGATTTAATTCCTATTTTACCTATAAGTTGCAGTATGTATAGGTGGCTGTATATATATACATATATATATGTATATATGTATGTATATATGTATATATATAAATGCAGTGATACAATCCTTTCAAGTTGCTTTATGAGGATAACAGTGGTTCTGCTTCACAGAGTTAAAAAAATAGACACCCTATTTTACTATTTATGGAGAGAACTAAAAAAAAAAAAAAGCTTCAAAAATGCTCAGTCTTAACACTGTCAGAAGAACATGGTAATCAGTTTTCAGTTTGGGGAGCTGCAGTGGTTTCTCTGCCTTCCCGTGGCTCCTAAAGATGCTACAATGCAAAGAATCTCAAAAAAATCCCCAACAAGTAGCTACAGGTGCCTTAAAAAAATAAGCAGGGAGGTCAAGACAGGAAGATGGCAACTTTAGGAAACACAATTTAATGATAGGATGCAGTCACAAGCTTCATAAGGTGAAAGGAAGCTGCAGTGACACACCCAGTAAAGCTTATTGACTCTTGCTAAATGGTGACATATCACTTGGCTCAAGAGAACTTCTCCAATATTTCTCCTCTGAATTTCACTTTCCTTTTATAGGGGTTCCAGTCCTACATCTGATTCCATCCCCTTTTCCTGCAGTATGGCATACCATGGAGGACACAGAAGAAAACCTTGACAAAACCACTATCGACAACCTCAGCAAAATCCTGCAAGTGTTTGTACTGGAATATCTCAACCTGTGATACACAAAATGTCAACAAATTGTACTCCACCCTAAGCACTGTTTGCCCACCTTCACATTTGCTGTTCAATTGCATTGGAGAGCCCTAAAGTGAAGAAAAATATGATAGCTCTTGCTAGACTGATTATGGATTCAACTGTTCCTGGCCCAGTGTTCCATGTAGCCAAAGAAAACAGCATTAAATAAGAACTAGTTCAGCCTGGAAAGAATTTGATCTTTCCATGTCTTACCTCTGAATAAAAAAAACCCCAAACCAGAATTATTCCAGATTATCATCACTGGTTTTTGTCACATACTATGATCCCAGGAGGGAATGTCTCCCAACATAAGCGTTTGCTACAATTTTTACAAGGTGTGACCAACCTTAGCAGTGTTCAGCAATGGAGATTTATGCCATGTTATCAAAAGACTTCTATATTGCATTGAACTAAGCCACCTCATCCTGAAATGAGTTGCTAGAACTCCTGACACACAAGTGGTTTTTAATCCTCTCTGCTCCTCCCTCTCCTCCTTCCCCTACAGGCAGAGCTGCAAGGGCTCTTCTCTGTAGATTGCAGGCCACCAGGAAACAGAGCACTAACCCAAATCCAATTTTCCCCCTGTCATTTGTTAGATACTTTCTGATGGAGAAGGGTTGGTGGGGAGTGATGCTAACAGGAAGGCACATGGGGGTTTCCATCATGCTTTGAGTACAACACAGGAGATATAAACAGAAGAGCAGGTGGTGTGTGGGAGCAACACCCTAGCACACACTATTTCTTCACGTGAGAATCATTCACAATTTGACCCCAAAAAAACCCAACCCTCCACCCAGGTTATAATATAGATTACAGCAGAAGTAATCATAGTGGTAAAGTGATCACTTGAGAAACTGTATCTAAATACAGAGCGTGTCAAGAATAAAATGAGAGTCAGAAGCAAGACAACAGTTCAGGTACCAGAAAAGACACTTATTAGTTTAACAACTCGGTGCTTTTACATTCCTTACTGGAATTACTCAATAAATTTAGTGTAACACTGGTAAAAAGGAAGCCTGGAATGAAATCAGTGTAAGCCAGAGCAGTATTCAAAAGCTACTGCTGCAATTATGGTTTCCACTGGTGAGAAAAAGATGAGAGCATTTCAAGAAAAAAAACCAAAAAAATCAAGCAGGTAGAAGATGAAGTGAGAGAAAACAAGTTAGCATTTTACTGCTCCAAACTTCTTCCCTTAGAAAGGTCTATCCTGAGCAAAGAGGTTTAGAAAGGAGATAAGCCATGGAGTTGTAGGCACCTGAGATTTGGCCATTTTCCTAAGGCAAACATTTCTCAGCCTAAGACAATGTCTCCATATTTTAAAGTTGTGACAGAAATATGTATTTCCAGCAATGTGCATTCATAAAATTTTACTATTACAGGACAGCCTGAAAATGAAGTTCTATCTGCCTTTGGTTGCTTAATATGAAACAAAAGCATTTTATGTTTTCCCATCCCATTAACATTTTTGAGAAATGCTTCTATTTTGCATGCAACCCCTGAAACAGAATACAGTGAGAATTCTAAAAAATTGGGCAGATGTGTTTATTTTCAGATATTACTGCACATCTGTGTAAATATATCAAAGCTGTTTGAACTCTTTGCAATCATATTCTCCTCTACTTCAGCCAGTGAGAAACAGTTTAAGAAAGAGAATTAAATATTCTGAAGTTTGAACACACTGAGCAGTGTAAGGCACCTTCTGCACCCTCCTAAGTGATGGGAAAAGGTAACAAAATGGCTATATACAAGCTGGTTTAATATGGTTCTCAAAATGCGAAGACAAGATGAAAAGGCTTATAGGTTTTTTGCCTTCGGGGTTGTTTTTTTTCAGTACAGGAAAAGAGGGTCAGTTCCTAACTGTATGCAAGCCCTAGAGAGGTTTACTTAAAGAGGGGATGGTCAATTTATAGCAATTTATATGGTCCAGCATGCATTTAAAAAATAACTGCTGGAAGGAGAACTTGTATCAGCCCAGTGACCGTGTGAGTCCAAAAATCTAAGCTCCCAAAAGCACAAGAGCCTGAAGTAGTCAGTAAAGCAAAGACTTGGTGCAAGGTGGGTTCTCATTGCTACTAAGGCAGGGGAGAACAAGCAGATAGGAGGCAGTCCAACCACTTGATAAAATACCCAGAAAACAAACAAATCCAAGTGAAAAGACCAGGACTGACATTTCTTCTACTCTCAGTTTCAACCCATTGGGTCTGGACAAGCACAGTACAGATAATCACCTCAGAATTCAGAGAGAGGCTTTATGATGAAGAACCTACCCCTGGATATCCCTGTCCCTGTTGGATGGTGGCAGCAGGGGACAGAATCAACTTCAACTAATCTAATCAGCAGAACTGCTGCACAAGTTCTCTCCTTCAATAGGATTTGCACATCTCAGTCATGGGGAGGGGAATGAAAATCATCAATCTACCACCCACAAGAAGCTGTCACTGGCTTTGTCCTCCCAAAGGTGCATGTGGTATTTACCTGGGTAAAGGGAACGCAGAACAGAATGAACTCAAGTGCCATCACTCAGTATGTAAAGCTGCAACAAAATCCTTATGATGTTAGTTATTTGTATTGCAGTAGGTGCTCTGACTTCTTTTCTATCAGGACTATGCAGAATCTTAAGCCTAAATAATGGTAAATGTCCCTCAAACTCACCAAAGCTCAACGTGTTTACCTACAAGTGAAGTCATCCTGTGCAATCACAGTTGGAACAAGTCAAGGGAGTAACAATGTCAAACCCTGTGGCAGACAGAAATGACAGCATGCACCAGGCCTCTTCTCTCTCTAGCTGGGGCAGCATTCCTATCACTAGGAATGAAGGTGATATAAATTAGCAAGTCTTATTCACTACATATCAAATAAACATTTAGATTGTGACCACCTAACAGCAAAATACAATTAGAAAACCCCAAATGCAGCAAAAGTGCTTTCTGTAGAGTTATTCCAAGAACTCAGTCTACATTGGTAGCAGACCCAGCAAAACAGTTCTGAAGTTTGACACATCTGATCATTGAGACGGAAGTAACACCCCAGAGCATCACTTGAACAATGGAGATAGATATATATATATAAAAAGGCAACTATAAAATTGTGTACACAAATTACCACTTTTTCCTTGTCATTTAAAGATGACACCAATTTTATTTTCCTCATATAAAAGGAGACATTTTACTCTGTGCTGATTTAACAAATATTCTTCATATATTCATAACAATAAAGCAGCTAAAAAGCTGTTCTAATCTCTAAAAGAATCTTTATCATCTGCACATATGATGTATATTGTAAACAATCACTCCAAAAAATATTTTTGTTAAAGTGATTATATTGCACTCAGAATTCTGGGATTCTCATCTTCCCTTCTCATTTTAAATCAAAGATCAGCTTCATTTCGTAATAAAATGGAGCTTTAATTTTCTGCTAAAAACAAGTATGCATGCAATCAATATAATACAATGTATTGAAAATGTCAGAAAAAGGGCAGGTGTTTGGTTATGAAACTGGAGTAAGGAACAATTCTCAAATAGGCCACACAAGAGTAGTTTATTGTAAACATTCTGCTGGCTCTAAGGTGTTGCAGATGCTGTAGAAAGTTCAGTCTAGTTCAGCACCCAAGAGGTACAGAGAATCTGTTCAAGTGTTCTGTACTTCAGTGAACTTCCATGCAGCAGTGGCACACGTGGTAGACTACACATAAAGCCAGAGTAATGACACAGAGGTGATTACTGAGTTAATACCGACCTCATAGAAACAGAGCCAATTGTTACAAGTTCATTGTTATCTTTAAATGCAAGTCTTCCAGGCCAGTACACTTTCTAACACAGCAATGAGACTGTTATTCTCGCTGCAAGTGAAGTACAGAACCAGATTCCCCACTTGTAGCTTACATGGATGTGTTACACCAGTGGCAGTGTGGACACTACCCTCAGCCTAAAATATCCCCACAAGATACCAAAATGCTTCTGCAAGAGTTGGCAAGAATGACAGCCTCCTCCATGCACTGGCTCAAGAAACACAGGTGGTGGAGGGGAGGAAAAAAAAAAAGAAAAAGAGGAATGCAGTGTTCTTATGCAGAAAAAGAAATCCTCAGCCAGTGTGAAGAGGCCACAGATCTTGAAAACTCAAATGAAGGCTGTTTTCTCAACTCAGTTCCACAAGAGAAAGACTTCTCTCTCAATGCCATTATCTTCAGATAACACAGTATCTTTGGAGTCCCTGAGATACCACAGCTCCATGTAACCACCTTGGACAAATGGAGAGACTGACTTGGTATACAGATGAAAAAAGTGGAAGCCAATACATAGCACCCTGAGTTGCAAGTGAAACAACAGGAATGGGCAACCGATCCCTCAACAGCCAAGAGATGCAGAAGAATGTGCAGAGGGGGAACTGTAAGACAGATACTGCACAGGAGAACAGGAAAAAATGGAAGTATTTCTAAAAGGCCTTTCCCTGTTGTCAGGGCAGTAAAGATCAAGACAGCAGGCAGAGGGAAGAGCTCCATGAGAAAGGCCCTGAAGAAATATGACCACCTAGATGTGATGGTGGATGGTAATGCAAAAGCAGAGACAAATTAAGGGGTCTTGTTCCAAGTGCATCCCAAAGGTTAAGCACTCTAGCAGTAACTAAGAATTGACCTGTACTCTGGATATAAACCAGGAATATAAACAGATACTTTCCCCCCTGAAACTACAGAAAAAATACAAAGAGGAAAAATACAAAGTCACAATCAAATCACAGAGTACTTTCCATAGTCAAAAATGAAATACTGGCTTCAGAGACAACACAGTCATCTGCTCTGTGTCCTATACAGGGTTACTGTAAAAAAGAGGTACTTGTAAAACCTTAAGTTTTAAATATTTTATTTCCCAGTATATTGCTAAATAATTTTGCAGCTGAACCAAAAAGAAATAAATATCAGAGATGAATATGGAATGCTTACAACTAGAAAAAGGTTGCTGAACCATCTGAACTTCTATAAAAGCATCAATAAAAATGTAAAAACATGGTCTCACAATATTAATTACAATCTGAAATGCCAGATTGTCTTCACAATGGCCACAATACTGATGGATTTTTGCAACCAAAACCTAATTGTGACTTTGCCAAACGATGGCTTAATATAGCAATCAAAACATCTCTGACAACTGGGATGTGTATTTCGGCAATTTCTTATTCTCTCACTTATTCAGCAATTCTCATTAGAAAAAAAATGCTATCTGGTCACAATTTCACTCTCTTACAGAGTTGTGCTGTATTGCAGTACATTCTTGGGAAAATAAAGTGGATAAAAAGACAAATAGAAATAGACACCCTATAAAAACTACTTGTAAAGTATCTTAAGTCTGGAAAATATCTGTGGCATTACACAGGCTACTGCTGATGTGAAGAAAAAAGTCTGCAATTTAACCACTTCATGAATATGAACAATGCACTTGTTCCCAGCCATTTAGAATGATCTGACATTCCAAATGTTTATAAAAATTGGGTAATAAAAGAATTAAGTCAATACCCTTAAGTACAATAAATAATGGTGTTTATTATGGTCGGGGTTGACCACGAGCGTTTGTTCCATATCTGCTTGGGACATTTGTAAAACCAGTTCTGAATCCTTGAGCTGCTCCCATTCCTGGTATTCCAAGTCCTTGACTGAGTACACTGCTGTAGGGTGCAGATCCTTGGTTAAAGCCCAGTCCATAGGGCTTTGTCTGAGTGTTTAGAAGGATGACTGGACTCACGTTTTTGCCTGGTGTATTAAAAGCAAACTCTGGTGGTGGGCTGCTGGGCTTAGCTGGAGTGGATGTAACAGGGTTCGAATTCTCAGCAGCTTTCAGAGGTGGCATTGGAATAATATGATGGTCCGAAAGGTTCAGAATATTGTTTGCAATAGGCACAGATGATAAGGAAGGTCTGATCCAGTCATCTTTGAAAATCTGGACAGTCAAGGTAGAGACCAACGTGTATAATCTGTTAGTGACATGGGCAAGTACCATTTGTTCGTTTGCATCTCTCCGAATTCGGACATGTACTGATCCAGCCTAGAAAGTGATAAAAATAAGTTGGCTATTAACTGTTGGCTCAGCAAAGATTCTCCACATGCATTCAGGAAGTGGCAAGCTACCCTGCAGAGAATTACACAAAGACCTCTTGCAATGACTAAATTAAGACCCTTATGACATAATTCCATAATTAAGATACATTTTGTTCTTTCCTAACACATCTATCTCTGAACACGTCAAGATCATCATTCAGAAAAAGTGAGTCTTATAACAAAACCACAAAATACAACATGTGATAGCAGGAAAGGCGACAGCTGGAAAAAACAGTGGCCCAAAAGAAGAACAAAGTGCAGACAAACGCCCTATGCTAAATTTAGGAAGAAGTGCCATCACTGTGCTGTTGGAGCAGGCAAGAGGACAATGTGCATGGCAAAGGCTCAAATGGGGACCATTAGCAAGAACAGAGGTAACATCCCTTGTTGGAACTCAGCCCTAGAGCTTTTCCTGACTTGCATATAACTGCAGGCTGTCCCTGCCTTCCACTCAGTAACACTATCTCATGTACCTTGATCTACCGCTGCAGAAGAGAACAGGACACAAGACAGATCCCCTCACATGCTTTATCAGTTCATGTTTAATAAAGACCATGGTTCACAGTTTGTGCTATACCAGCCATTTTTACATCAGATGGAGCAGCTGAAAACACATCTAGGTCTCAGGAAGTTTCTACTACAATCTGGAAAGTGACAACAGCTAAATATGCATACAGTTTTTGTAAATATCTGTCATCAATCCACCAATGCTGTGATCCAGTATTTTGGGTAGCAGAATAATTAACTGACAGCTATTCTCTCACTTCAGCAAGTCGGAACTGCTGTTTTTTTTTTTTTTTTTTTTTTTTTTTTTTTTTTTAAGAAGGGTACCACACTGGAAGAATTCAGAAGTAAAGAAATATTCTAGAGTCTTTTCCAACTGTCACAACATACTTGCAATCAACTTAGGAATAACCAAGTTCTGTGTGATCATTCTGTATCACAAAAAAAAACCCCAAAAAACCACCTTTCATTTCTTTCAGCTTACAGAATCATCAGTACCCAACTGTAGTTGTTTTGTTCCACTTTCTCTCCAGAAATGCTGAAAACACAGGATTCTAGTGTAGACCTTCAGTACCTGACAGGTTACAGTTTTCTTCTCTCCTCCCAGACAGTTTACACTAACACACCATTTGAAAAATGTCCTTACTATTGTTTGGGACTTTCTTCACTGCCAAAGTACAATACAAACTCTACAATTGCAAAATGCATGTTTTAATCCAGAGCTGCAGTATACATTAACAATAAATAACAAAGCTTTAAAAAACTTAAAGGGCAGGGGAAGAGAAGCTTCACAATAAAGCACAAGGACTAAGTACTGACTCCATCAATTTTTTTAATAGTCATGACTCCAGAAGAAATACCTTACTTTATGTAAATAAAAATTTTGTAGTAACTGACACCTTTTTTTAAAGGCTAACAAGACAATAAAGACATAACTTACCAAAGTACCAAAACCTAATGTCCAGAAATGCTCATTTCGAACTTCCAATACACCATCCAAAGTTGAAACCTGATTTTATACAAACATTCACAAATACAAAAATAAGTTAGAAGTTTCAAATCCCTTTAGAAATAAATGAGTAAAACAATTTTAAGTAGCGAAATAAAGCTCCATACACAGAATGGATGATGTCTGTTAATGATGCCACTAATGCCTATCTACTGTACTTTTGCTACCCTTAAACATCCAAATCCATCAAAAAAGATTTAAGGAACTTATTTCAAGTAACTCTGCTGCCAGACTGCAGTATTTTCTCAACTTGATATGCTGTAAGCCAACAACTGCCTGTACTCCTTTCCCTCCCCTAACTCACATTTATAAACCACTTCAGTGGTAGCCCAAATTCAAATAAAAACAGCCTCCACTACTTGAACAGATTTGTTTCAGATACCTGAATGACACTACTCATCTTTGATAGCAAGATTCATACCTGATACACCCAGCCAAAATATAATATTTAAAAAATAAGTTTTTAGCAGTCTTCTTAGGCTACTCAGAAAAGCTCTTCACATTCCTGAATGCTTGTTAGCTGTGCACACAGTGCTATGTATTATACACTGACTTACCTCTCTAAGAAGTTTATCTAACTGGCCAATCACGTGAGGTGGGGTTGTCTTCAAACACAAGAAGGAAAAAAAAAAAGACAAAAGTTATAATAAAGATTAACTGGCCATGTTTAAGTAGGAGAGCCTTTAAGTCATAGAATCATAGAATCAGTTGTGTTGGAAAAG